CTAGTCAAGTTGCCCCATTTGTGATGAATCGGTAATTCCATCAATGCAGTATGGTCGTTTTCCCTGAACTCTTTCCAGTGTGTACGAGTCTTCTCATATATAAGGGCTTGGATGCAGTTTTCTAGCTTGTAATTCACCAGAAACGCATGTAAAGTAGTGTGTCGGCGGTACAGCGGTTAGGACTTTCGCCTACCATGTACGTGGTCTAGGGTTAGATCTCCGACCAACCCACACCTGTTATCAGTGGTCGGCCTGCTGAATTTGGGCTATCGACATCACATGCTGAGTATTCCATAGCCGTACTAAAACAATGTATGGAATCAAGCTATATTATATATATATATATATATATATATATTAACTGGCGATTCCGGCAACGGACCCTCAGATAACATAAGGTTCTAAGTCTGATAGCTGAAACTGAACGAAAGTGGGGTTGTTTTGGAGTTACGACTCACCAGGATGTCCAAGTCAGTGTCAGTATGATCCGAAAGGAGTTTTTATTATGTGCGAGTTTATATCAGCGTAGCTATGCACTTCAGTAAGTTAATGTGGAGCAGCCATTCTTAGGACCGACCCAACGGACGGTTGGAATTCGCTTACAGTTTGGCACATCCGCGTCCCATTTCAGCCCTGAAAATTGTAGGCTGTCTGCGTAAATAGTCGTGGGAAATTTGACAAGAATGTGTAACTCATCGACATGAACCTCCTAGCAAAGTTTTCTGTGGCCTGCCGGTTTTTACTGCTATCTTAAAAGTGGGTTATGGTTGGTCCCTTTCCCATGTATATTACCGAATAAGAAGTTCTTGACCCAAGTGAATGGGCTGCTGTCAGTCACGTCTCGTAAAGCGTTAATGCCCAGCTCTTGCTACGCTCGGGCTCACGCTGTTCCTTGAAGCTTCTCAGAAACGCTTAGTAATAACGGACGAAAACACCAAAACACCAATTGGTGACTCGAGGATTCTTTATTGTTACACCAACATATAGGCATAAAATTAAATTTTAACTAAGGTCTGTGAACAAATATTACAATAATAAATCACAATATTACTTCTGACGGTTTGCTGCTGACTTCTTTCTGAACAGCGACCGATGAGACGATGACTGGTGAATCGATGTCTCCGCGAAAATCGGGGAAGTTGGTTTTGAGCAAACAACCATGAATTGATCGTTCAATCTTCAACTACATTGACAGCTGCCATTAATTTTTGCACATTCCAGTTACATTAGCAAACTTGTACTTTGTGCTTTTCAACTGCTATTCTAGCCTTAATCTGACCCTACTTTTTCTTGTCGTGGTTATCGTCGGGCAGAGGGGTTTTCCCCCAGTGAACAAGCCATAAGTTTTATGTGGAATCACGTTTATCTAATTTTTGGGGACTACGTGTTTCACTTTCACCAGTGCCGAATTAAAGATGAGGCCAACATTAGCATATCAAACGAATCTGAAGGGGATCAAAGAGGTCTGTTAAATCAGTTGGGCCCCACTTGTTTCCTGTCCAACGATTAATATGTTTATTTGTGCGGAATGAGATGTGGTGGACATTTTAGACTTTCAGTGGACAAGAACTCAGTCACTGCATTGTGGTACAATTGTATATCTTTACAATCTCCATATCGTTGTTAAAAATTTAATTTCGAATACAACTGGAATCCACACAGTGTTTTTGATATAAGTATAAATTTTCAGTATGTGACACCGGTAGACCAAATTTTGCAGGCCGACCACCGATATCAGATGTACATTGGCAGGAGATCGAGCCCCGAACCATGTGCTTGGTCGGCGAGAGTCCTAACCACAGTGCCGCCGACTCACAAATGCACCCTTCGACAGCCACAAGTGTTATATTCTCCTTCCGCTCGTCCAGGCTGTGTTAAGAGCAGCCTAGCCAACAGGTTAGGTGCGCCAGGCTAAGGATTCAGCATACAATTTGACCAGAGCACAAGTATAGCAGGATGGATAGCCACACATCAGTGGGGAGTGCTATTTCTCGTCCAAACCGACAGGAGACGAGTTAAAGATCATTCAAGTGGCCTAACTGACTAATCCCCTAGGAATAATTTAATATTTATCTAATTAGAAGCTCGAATCGGGATTGGTACACTTCGGACGAGTCCTTAGAGGTGGTTTTTATCCATTTTTATCACAATATTACCTCAATTCGTGCCATCATTGCACCTGAGAAGATTCTTAACTTCAGATTCCCCCAAAGCGATCATATTCCGACACATTAAGGAACAGTCTACAAGGGCACTCAGTAAAATGCTACAGACATCACGACCTATTATCAATAATTACTACCAAGTCTCTTCTCACTAGAATTTAAGGCTGAAAAATATAAGCCTCAGAAACAAAGAAATGCGGGCCATTCAGCTGCAAGATATAAGATATAGTTCCTGTTGTGTTGCTCAGTGTACACTTCTGAACCTGTCAGCTACTTAGTACATCTGAGTGGCCATAGCACATCGTGTCGTAAAGAACCTACAGATCCCCTGACATTATAATAAGATCACTGACTATCTAGAGTCGTATTTAAATTGACTCTATGGTCGTTTGCTGAATCGGATGATCATCTTCTGAGCAGTTTCCACTGAGATCCGTTGCACCACCGACGCACGATTGATTCCCTGCTAGGACCTAATAGCATGAGTTACAGACGGACTGCAACTGTTGCGCATCTGCTGACTGAGCAATCTTCCCCGATTGTTTTCAATGTGATTCAATCAGCACAATCAAACAAAACGACTGTTGAAAGTGAATAGACTGAATTTGGGTTGAATTGACGAATTCGTTTGTTCCTCAATACATCCAGTATTTACTGTTTTCCTCAAAAGATGTATAAAACAAATTAGGTTCCTTCGATTTCCCCAATCATTAATAAACCCACTGGCAGTTTGAGGTGATTTGACTTTGACTAATTAAGGTTCACAGATTTTTGTGATCACATCAAGACCCATGCAGGATTCGGGCCGAAATGAAGTAAGTTTCTGCCGCTATACGCGTGTGCACTGTATAAAAATATTACTGATGAAACGGTAGGATCTAAAGGGTTTGTTAAGCACCTAAAGTTATTGAGAAGGCTTGGGATCTGTCATCATTAGGATTTGCACACAACGAGAATCATTCAAGCCGGTTACATTGTAAACCAGAGTGGTAAATAAATTCATAAATTTTGCAGCCTACAGATTTATTGTCATCCGATGTTGGGTACTGTTCTTTAGTGTATCGGTTGACTTATTGGGCCTAAGGGTACTCGGTCGATCATGCTCGGCGTTTTTGGATTGTTGTTTGTACAGCATCCTTATTGAGAAAAACACGCATCTAACTTTGATTACATCAACCACAGATTATGAGTTGTTTATCAGGCGATCATTATGTTGCTCTTGTCATATCTATCTGGTTTAGTTGAGTGACATTATTCATCCAGTTTTACTCCCGACGACTGATTACTTTGATTGTTATGATGGCATAACACGAATTATTATCATGGCCGTAACGATAGTTGCCGAGGTGTGTATGGGAAGGACATGTTCGCAGAGTATTGTATGGACTTTTTTGGTTATGAACCTGTTACATGTCTAACTGGGATGGCGAAAAAGATTTCTACGGTGGTTTACTTACGAAAGGGAACATGGATACATTCATGATTAATTTGTTGAGATGATATACCTACCTAGTTGTGTAAAGAAGTACGTGTGCAAACTGTAAAAAAACCGGAAATATCGACTATATAGGAGATAACACTGTTTAACAATAAAATTTTGTTTCGGAGAAAGAAAAGGGCGATTACGATAACATTCTACGGGGCGAACTTAGTTTATGGCCGGTAAGTAGCAGTGCCTTAAACGGAGAAGCAGCTAGCTAGTCTTTCAAAATCCATGTGTTCCAATCGAACCACCTCTTTTCCGGGGAAATATCTACATTAGACGTACAACTAGAAACCCTAGCCAACTTATAAGAGAGGGATTGTCATTGTGGTTCGAAAAAAGGCGGTTAGGAACTGTCTTAGGCTGTATTTCGTTCCTTGTCACTGTTAGCGGTCCTTCAGTGGATGTAGCAGAATTCTATGGCCCCATTTTATCCCGTCGAGGTTTTGAAGTGGCATACTTAATCATATTCGCAGACGCCTAAGGCTGTTACCATTCGAACTGATAATCCTGGACTGCATCTGAAAAACTCAGCCGAGCCATATTGTTCTTTCATCCAGTGGAGACTTAACACTTGATATATCTTCTCAAATTGTGACCGAATTACTATCTTTTGCCGGGCCTTTATCAGGTGTATTAGGTCTTCGCACAAACTCGGTTTATCTGCTTTGTCTACAGCATAGTGCCCCTCACTCCGTTTGAACTCCTGTTCGCAGAACACGCTTCTTCCCTTGTTTGCATCATAGCACGATTATCACTGGCTCATCTCAGTATTACTGGTACGATAAAACCGAATATTTATAAAATTTGTAGGGTCTTGTTGTCCCACTGACAAATCACTATGACTGGTTTTTATTTAGGTTATGCATATTAGTGGAAGGCCTGGATATAACTGAAAACGATAATGTTCACTTACAGATTTTCTTCTACGTTTCATCTTTACCTCTGGTGTTTTACTAAGATATTAGTTTCAAAGACAAGCATGCATGCATATTATTAAGCAAGAGATCCTTGAAAAGAGAAAACATTTAATGGGTGTAATTCTGATGTAAATCCTGAGGTCGTCGCCTTCATGTATTTATCTAGCTAGAGCGGAAATCTGATCAGCAGAGCACTACAAGGAAACATTAAGAGGGATAGCGACGCTTGTATCACTGAATTCAACCAAACATTCAGCCGAAAGGTTCAGGTTATAAAACTCCATTGCAAATTATTCAATTCACTAAGTCATGAACCCGTTTGGGCAAAACAGGGCATCAACTATGGAGAATAGATATTCTGAGTCATTCCACCTCTTGTTTCTGGGTTGTCAGTTCTCTGAGAAGATCCTCCATATTGGTCTCGCAGGTAGAGTTTTGGAGAGCCAAAGAAGAATAAACAAAAGAAATTTCGCAGCACAAAACACTTTAAATATTAACAATTTTGGCCTGAATTCCTTTTCTACTCTTGTCATATACCTATCCGTTTATCAGAAATTGAGTTTCTGAAAACAAGTGGTACCATTTTTACTTAACACAATGCATATCATTTGACCCATCAAGGTCTTCTAGTTTCGAGGCGGAAATTCAATAGACAAACTTGATGTGGTCGCCGGAGTATGATGTTGGTCTTGAGGAAAGTTTCACGGAGCATGAATTGTCAGTTCTACAACAGTTCTATGAAAGGATGCTTAAATGTCCCCTTGAAGAATGCAAATCGAAGCGTTATCTCGTACGTTGGCTTCGTGCGCGCAATTGGGATATTGATGAGGCAGAAACAATGTTGTGTGATCACGTGAAATGGAGAAGTGTTAATCAGGTTAGTTGCCAGTATATCCTGTTATCATTAAAATTAGTTTTTTGATGTCCTTTTAATGGTGAAATGTTGGAAAAGACGGATGAGTGAGGCATTCACTTCTGTAATTGGCCGTACTATCCATCTTGTTAACATGTATGCCTTCTAGGGCTCGAGTCTCTTTTTATTTCGGATTTAGGTGCTAGAGGTGAAATTATTCTACTGATTATCTGATTATGATTGAAACATTTGGTTTTAATAAGCATTTGTAAGCTGTGCATAATCGTTGTTATCTGTTAGGGATTGCTATGATTAGCGTATGGTATGTAGCTCTCCTGTATACATTCACTGTCTAGCCTACACAAATGCAATCAACTGTTACTTCTTCAGTATTGTGGAGAAGCTATTTTTGTTATAATCAACCCCCCCCCATAGAAGATTAATTATATAAAACCAATTTTCATGTTTTACCTAAAAGTTCACCATTCAAATCAAAGACATATACTTGATAAAAAGTATCACACTACATATCGTTGGCGAAGTATGAAGGATTGCAGCACAGTCACCCCATTTGGATGCCTCGTGTACGGATGTTAGTTACGCTGTGCATGGAAGCAACCAGAAATTATTTGTCCTAAAGTGGGCAAAGTCAAACTATCATAACCAAAACCACAGTGATTTTGAATGACTAACCAGAACCCAAGTGCAAAAAAGCAGCATAATCGTTGAAAAAATGCACTGAAAACTTTGCAAACATGAGGTTACACTGTACAATTGTCGGTTATGTGTTGTAAGGATGTCTCCAAATCACTACAAATATGATCTGCAGGGAAATCACACCACGCACGATAGATGTATTCATCCAAGTGACTGTAATTCACGGTACTTTGAGATCCATTAATATTTCTGACACTGTTCTTTAACCCAACCTTAACTCTAACTATAATTCCAACCCCTAATTTTGACTTTAGGCCAATCTTAACCTTAACCCTAAGACTTTACCTAAACTTAAAAAAACACTACTCTAACTAAGAGTATAGATTTGCAGAAGTAGAATACGGTATCTACCCTCACCAAATCCAAAAAGATAGGCGTGATTTTATTCGGAATGGTCTTTCATAGCATTCCTTGGATCTGGCTGGTCCTTCAAGGTCAGCTTTGACAGACCTTGATTGTGGCTATGATAGTTTAACTTCTCCGATATCGAGATTAAGCAATAACAATACAGGGTGCCGTGCAGCTCACTGAGAGCTAAATTTAAATTATACCTCAAAATTTGATAGTTCGGAAAATTCGCCATCACACACTTCTGAGAAAACCATTTTGATCCCATCACTTTCGGACTAACTGTGACTGCTGCCGTATGTGCTGTTTTCCTGATGACTAGCATTTGTTCGAGTACTGGTATCTTGCGTCATTTAAGGTGTTGTCATTGTACTGTTTTGTCTTCTTCACATGTAGATGAGTTGTTAGAGTAACAACAAATCACGTTAAATGTACTATATCAATTGTTCTGATTGTATTTGTCCCGTTTTTTACTATGATACAATAGAAAATCCATAATAGATGCCAAGATAATGGCTACTGGTGAAATACACTTAAAAGCTAAAAATCAGTTGTTGGTATTCGATCTGGATGACATGGTCTGAATTAGTGAAATAAGACGCGTTTATTTTTCTGTCATTGCAACTCACATCATGTATCGAAGATTTTGAAGATAGATGGATTACGATCAAGGGTTAAACAATTGTATAAGCGGATTTCCACTACATTTTAGCCACAATTCTGTAAGTGACGAATAAATATGGATTTGAAACCAGCAGACTTATTGTAGATCTTGCAATTCATATTCTTCTATTTTTGCTGACTGAAATATCCAATCAAAATCACCAGTTTATTCTTAAACTAGTCTGACAATAAGTTTGTCTACCACGAACTCAAATTGTACATGGATGATTTCAAGCTGATCACAACGTTCATCAGTGAGTAATACACTTATGTCAAAGATCTATCATACTTAGGACAGTCTATTTTCTACCAGTGGGTTATCGGTTAGCATCTACATTCATTCCATAGCTCGGATGTATAAAATATCATCAATAACCCTCACTTATTAGATATTCTTCATAGTTTGGGAAGGGTCATTGCTTTCATGTCTTGGTTTTATGTTTCACACAGATTTCTACGAGTAGCTCCTATTTTTCGAAGTATTTATTGATTCACGTTTCATTTAAATTAAAACTCTGATAAGACAGTCTTTTAAATACGAAGTGGTACAAAAACTTCTGAGTTTTACTACCGTTGACTAGTACGATGTGTGGGGATCAGAGGTTACTGATTGCGTAGAATTTGAACAGAATTCTGTAACTCATACATTTTTTGTATTGTTATAACTGATACTGAACTGGATGAGAACCGTTGTCACTTTGTTCTGTCTGCGCCTGCCTAATATGCCTGCTGTGCCTTCGGATTCACTGAGCCACGCAAATATCAAAATACAAAGGCTGGCCTGTAACTGTATATTGTAATCACAACAACAACAACTGCAAGGAAAGCAACACATGGTATTTATACATTTTCTTTACAACAACAAAGTCGGCCTCACAGCCGTGAGAAATTATTGATCGCATAATTAATTGCAACATGCTTGAAAGATGATGACATACTACTTTATGCGGGATGCTATCATGTATTCTATGGGCGAAGAATCCATTTATGTCTGCCTATTTGTTCACTGCTTCCTTCAATCCTTTCGGTACATTTATCTATCACTTTGTGGTCTGAGATGTTCCACTAGTCTGAATTGAGGCAGACTGGGCAGACTGAACATGATTAGACCAAATAATGATACGAATCTTTGAAGTCACATACTGTTCGTCTTAGCCTTTTAGATAATCACGAATTTAATAACTGGAATTTTCTAGAGATTTCGGGTGACATTTAAGTGTTGATCATAAGAATGCAAGTGTATTTACTTGTCTCACTCCAAGTCATAAATGGATCTGTAAACACATATCGTATATGTTGCAAAATGTGCACGACACAGAGATTCTTACCACATGATAAAGTTCAGGAAATTTTATTGCTGAGTATCTTTCATGTATACATATATAAACGCATATCCTACTTCTGTTTTTTGACTGCTTTCTTTCATTGACTGCCTGTTTATGCTATCGTGAAGAATAACAAATCAAATCCAAGATTATTCCCTTTTATCTTCCATTTATTATAAGATTGCATGAGACTGTTGTTTGACTCCAAGGTTGACATTATCTGACCATGCAGTACTTCTCTGGATCACTCATTTACATGTGGCTTTTCTGGTTGTTTCCGTTAATAATGTCTTATTAGCACGTTTGGAAAATTATGACACATTGCAGCTTTTTCACAAAATAACTGAAACCAATGCGGCTATCGAGATAAAGAAGGAGCTTTACACTCTTCAAAGATGGAAGAAAGAGAAGTATGCGAATTAAAGGGTAACATATTTTCCTCAGCAGATCACTAGTATGGAATCTTTTTTCGATCCAAGTCGGAATTATTTTTGAGTAAACATGTTAAAATATTCTGTTTCTTGACTATGAAGGTAAACCACATAAAGTGTTTATTGCCGACCATTATTATTATCATTATTGTTCTTTTGGGTTCCCAGTGGGATGTAGAACTTCAACAGCAGCTGTCCACTTTTGCTTATTCTTTGTGGTCTCTTGTTAGCTTGCCCCACAATTGCCCATATTCTCTCATCTCCACCTCACATGATCTCCTCGATGTCACCTTCAAACACCCAACTCATCCTTTTCCATTCAGGTTCCACCCGAGCGGTGGCCTGACGTGCGATGTCGTTCGATGGTCTCCTCAGTGTGTGTCCAATCCGTTTGCATTTTATTCGAAATATTTGTTGATCAATAGGCTCTTGATTGATTTGCTCTCAGAGTTTCCTGTTGCCAATTCTTTCCGGCCATTTGATCTCTAATATGCAGCAACGTTGGCTGTTGATAAAAATTTGCGACCTGTTGGAAATGTTTTTGTGACGCATATAGAAGAACTGACTTGACGCTGGTGTTGAAAAATCGGATTTCCAGACTGATTCCAGAGAGATAAGAGTCTGTCTTGCGTTTTCGATCCTGCTTTCGACATCCTCATCCCCCATGTCAACCGCCTGTAGATGAAACGATTCTGCTTAGACAGGTGAAAGAAGTGACCTCTTTCAAATTTTTCCCGTTGATAGTGAGTGATTACTTCTCGTTGTTGTTGGTTGGTTATCCTCATTACCTCCGTCTTCTCCATGTTCACTTAAAGTACTGTCTTCTTTACCTGCCTCTTCCGTCAACTTGTTGGTTTTAACCTGAAGATCTTCGAGTCTGTGTGACATTAAACTTAAATCATCCGCAGAGTACAGACTTTTAAAGTTTTCTTATCAGTCCAACGTATTCCTGTTTTTTCACTCCCCCACAGTCTTCTGCATATACTATCCGGACTGTGCTTCTATTAAAACTAGATTTCATAACAGAAACACGTTCTTTCTCCCTATCTTTACCATTTGATGATAAATACTTAACTGTCCACTAAACAGTGTACTCAAAACAGTTTACTTTATTCCTATCAAGCACAGTTCATTTTTTTAAAATTTCTGTCTACCTACTTTACTCCGTTACACATGTTTAAAGGTTGATACAATTTGTGATACATACAAAGTTCCAGAAATGATACAAAAATACTTTCCTGGTGGATTTTGTGGAGAAGACAAAGATGGCTATCCATTGTATTGTGCACCTGTTGGTCGATTCGATCCGAGTGGTTTCATGAAGGCTACTACACAAACTGAATTCATTCAGAGTAGAATTTATTTCCTGGAGTATATTATAAACAAGATTTTATATGAGAAGTCAAAACAATACAATAAATGCATTGATCAGTTGACGCTTATATTAGATATGAAAGGATTAAGCTTAAGGCATATGCATCCGTCATGGATTCCTGTATTTTCAGAAATGATGACAGTACTTGAAGCAAATTATCCTGAAGTTTTAAGGATTTGTTATGTGATAAATGCTCCACCGATATTTGGAACTATATTCAACTTCTTCAAACCTCTTTTGAGCAAGACTACACAAGAGAAAATTCATGTAAGTGTCTATGTCATTTTATCATATCATAACTTAATATCTTCATTACCTAATTCAAGTATTGAAACAAAAAATAAGTGATTTTCTGAGTATATATATATATATTAAAGTCAAATCTCCGTCTTTACATTTACATTGGAAGCGACAGTTTTGAGTAGTGTTCGAAAGCTTCTTCGCTATAATTCAAAGCAACACACACTAGTGTGTCTAGACATCTGTAAGGCAAATATGATGTTTTCAATCATTCATTTTTTACTAATTGAAGAAAACTTAGTAGTACTCTTCACAGAAGTATCATCTCCTCTTGTAATTGTGGTTTAATCCTAGACTTATAAGCCCTTTTTTTAGTGTATTTACATACTCAATACGACTATTGAATTGAATTTTAGATTTTCCATTTCGATTGATTGAACCGAAGTGCTCGGTCTCAGGCTGACATATCTTTTGGCTTCTTTTGCAAATGCTTCGACGATATCTGGGCATGTAATTAGAAGTTAATTGGTAGATAGTGACTAGCAGTGGAATCCAGGATAACGCGCATTTTTTCCTATTTGGGGCTCGTCGGTTGGATGTGCCTGCATTCCCAGGTGACTGATGATGCTCTCACCGAGGCTCGAACTTAGTGCCTGTAGTTTCAAACGTCAAGGCGTTATCCACTAGAGCCACTTCTTGTACAACGGGGTCATATTAATTATTTAATTGGTGTTCTGGTGGATAACGCTTTAGCGTTTGAAACTATAGGCACTATGTTCGAGCCTCAGTGAGAACATCATCATTCACTGGGGAATGTGGGCATATCCAGCCGGCGAGCCACAAATTGGACTAAATGTACATCTTGGATTCCATTGCTAGCCAGCAACAACCAAAATAATTTCACACTAATCCTAAGATACTGTCAAATCATCCGTAATAGAAGCGGACATGCCAATGGAGGCCGAATATTTCGGTCCTATTAATCAACGGAAAAAATCGAAATTCAATTTAAAATCTGATAACATCACTTGTAAAACTGGTTTGTTCGCATCATCTTTATGCTCAGTTTCTACTTCTAATCAATTTTTCTTCACATCACATTACAACTAAGGGCAAGTGTATCAGAAGGTGTATTAGATATGATAATTGAGGGAGAATATGGACGAAAAATCTAACAAATAAGGGGATTGAAATAATTTGAATAGGATGTTTAACATTAGTGGAGGGATAATCGATGGGTGGTGTTCGTTCCACTGTAGTTGACTTTAAACCAATTTTGCTTAACATTCTATGAAATGTTTCGGCAGTACGTACCGGTTTCTTGTGTAACTCAATCCAAGAACTTTGGGAATCGAAGACATGTATTATTATCTGTTTATCTGTGGGTGTCTTTTATTGCTTTCACTGTAATGTGTCTTTTAAGCTGAGGCAAACGATGATCAGGTGTCGGAAATAATCTGTAACGATGAAAATTAATTTAGACGTACTTACTATGCGTCGGTGGCACAGCGATAGAATGTTCGCCAACCACGCATGTGATTCGGGTTCCGATTCCCGGCCACTGAACGCACTCCTTTACCTCGCTAAGCCAGTAATAAGACTGGTTAGGAGGGAAGCTTGGGCATGAGGCTAGCATTCCTATCCTGTAAAACTAAAACACCACTTCTACCGAAACTTCAAACCTCTGGCCGGAAGCTCTATGTTCCACCGGGAACATAAAGGAATAAGAAAACGGAAGACATAGTGACCAGCATAAACTGGTGATTTTTCCTTAAATATTCATCTTTCATTTACACACTCTTCATGCTCTGAGTTTTGCGGGATACTTTTTACCTAAAGTGATGAAATACGACAAATTTCCTTTGCAAAATAGTATACTAAATATTATGAGTAGTTTCACAATATCTGAATGGAATATCAGACTTAACCAGTTAAATCGCACATTGGTGGTCGAAACACTGTTGATGCATTTTATTTACTTCACAGCGACGTTATCAGTATTGTTATTACTATTAAAAGACACACTTGGTCGATTATGGGCACTGAGAGATGTGTAATACAAAATTTCATAATTTTTCCGAGGCCTGGGATACTGCATGGACGCCCATCCTGAAGCAAGTGGTTGTCTTAAGGCGTGTTACTCCATGAGCCTTTAACTTGAAGTTTGATTCACAAGGCAATGGAGCAATGTCTGGAGCTACGTTCGCATGGTTCCCAGTGAGCGATCCGTTTGATCCGCCGTTCGGATTCTGGAACACATGGACACTATGGGTTTGGAATTTGGATTTTCTCGTTTACTTAGGTAGACCTTCATGTCTACTAGTCCAATATTAAGTGCCAGGCGTTCACATTAAATCTTTCACTTATGTAAGAAACATTCATCCCCCCCCCTACCATGTGAAGCCACTGATTAGGAATTACCTGGGACAGTACATGAACATGTGGCTACCTGAGAGCATTTTAAGAGGAGGACTGAAGTCTGTCCACCGTCGGCCGTACTAGGTAGTTTATGGGGGGTGCGTTGACTGGTAATCGAACCTGGACACTGTGCTCGGTTAGTGGTCGTTCTATCATTGAAGCACCAATGCACAGGTTATCAGTAGAATCTCATTATCCAAACAGTCCGACTTGTTTTCTATAGAAATGCTGTTAGAAACTCTAATGTTTCGAAATATGAGCATAACTTGTAGAGATTACGACTGCTTGACAAATTACTCAACAAGTTCTTGAACCAACCAGTCAATCGATTCCGGTTCATGAGATTGTTATTTTTAAGCTGAATATTTTAAAATGCATTCTTAGTAAATTCATTTTAAATTGAACATTATGACATTGCCGGGTAGAGATGTTGTTCATGAGAGTATACCACTCCTATAATGTTCTATTAACTTCATATTTCTCGTCAACAGTAACTTCGAAAGTCAGGAATTATGCTGTTTGATTTATTTCTGGCTGTAGCAATTGTGAAGAGAAAAACAACCAGCTATAGGTATTCACTATTTCTACGGCACAAGTGTAAACTTTGATTATCTTTTTTTTGATTTAAATGAGCATCTTTCTGTGTTTGTTGCAGTTAAAGAAATACTAAGTCAAATAGTCTTCGTACTCGATTGATTGAACCGAAGTGCTCGGTCTCAGGTTGACATATCTGTTGGCTTCTTTTGCAAATGCTTCGACGAGATCTGGGCATGTAATTAGAAGTTAATTGGTAGATAGTGACTAGCAGTGGAATCCAGGATAACGCGCATTTTTTCCTATTTGGGGCTCGTCGGTTGGATGTGCCTGCATTCCCAGGTGACTGATGATGTTCCCACCGAGGATTTCGGTTCCGTCGATCCGCCGGAAAATTTGAAATTCATTAAAATAATCAATAAGACCCGTTGCACAAGAGGTGGCTTTCGTCGCCGAAGTGGTCTGGTGAATAACGCTTCGGTGTTTGAAACTATGGGCACTGGATTCGATCCTCAATGAGAACATCATCTCTATCACTGGGGAATGCTGGCACATCCAGCCGACGAGCCTAAAATAGGAAGAAATGCGCGTTATTCTGTATTCCGTTGCTAGTCACCATCCATCAGTTGAAGTCTTCGTACTCGTCCTAAGTACCAGTTAGAAATTTACATGAAGATAACAGTAACTGGCATTCCTATACATCCTGACAAATTGTTCTTCTTTAGTGTGCAGGATAGTTAGTTTCTTATCTTGACTAAGTCATACAGAAAACTGATTTAAGCACAACACTAACTTGAGCTTAGAATGACTTCGAACAGTCGGTGGTAGTATAAGTGATGCTGAAAGACTCAAGTCTCTAAAATTCTTGTAAGGATAATTAAATGTGAGAGATAAATATTGTTCATTTTTTGTAGACTGGTGTCACCCTCTATCGATCTTTGGTAACTTATCTGTGTATTTCTTGCTCAGCTGTGTAGCTTAGCATTATTGGGTAAAGGTTCACATAAATATTAGTAAGAAGAGTTAATTAATTAACGTTGGTATTGCTTTAACCTATCTTTATTTAATTGTGATAAATTATGATTGTTTCTTTGAATAACTTATACTATTTTCAAGGTTTTAAAATCAGACTTTCGAACTGCCCTCCTTCAAGTTTTCGATCCTACCGGCTTACCAGCATGTTATGGTGGTAAAATTACTGATCCTAATGGTGATCCACAGTGTCCATCAAAAATTTGCTGGGGTGGTTCTGTACCCTCTTCTTATTTTCGTAAAAAGCTATCAGACGATAAGCTAAGCGCAACAAAACAATGTGAAACATCCGAAGAAGTAAAACGTGTTACCAGCTGTGGTCGGGTTATGCATATGATTGAAGTTGGTGCAGCTTCACGTAAAGATATTTACATTGGACCAGTTTCAATTCATGATCAAATTAATTGGTGGGTTTCATGTGAAGCGAATGATATTGCAGTCGGCATATTCATGAAAAAATCTTCTAATAGCAGCAAAGAAGTTACAAGTGATTCAACATCAAGTGGAGATCAGCTAGTTGAAATTGTTCCAGTAAAGCGTATCTCATCCAATGACAGTATTGTTCAAGGGATACTAAAAGTTCAAACACCAGGGATATACATTCTTTCTTTGGATAATACTTATAGTTGGACAAAATCAAAACGTTTATGGTATGATTTTAGTGTAAGTTCATTTGATGATTGAAAATATTGTGACTTTATTTAATCGCTCAACTTATTTACTTCACTCATTTTTTGTTTTGTTTTGTGTTTTTATGTGAGTTTTTCACTTCTAGGTCACATTGTTTCTTACAAAGTATATGATAAAATGTTTGTTAAAATATTTTTCAATCATTTTTCAGTTGTAGGTATACTATACTCTGGCTTTGAGAGAGGTTGATGACAGCTTATCGTGTATTTAACTTCTACTGGTAGTAAAATTTAAAAAGACGTATAGATTAGTGTATTACTTACTCTATGTGCCACACCTATTTCCTGTAGATTAGAGATGCTACTGTATTTTATTAGGTGGGGTTGAGCTTCAGATGGCTTGGTCTAGTTTATGACTAACTGACTGACTGACTGGTTTTCAACATAGAACTTTGCACAGAAATGCAGAAGTTCAAGTTGTCACACTCTTCATCGCACACAAAGGTTGAATAGTGAGAGAAAACTCGAAAGAAATATAATTAATAGAAATATATGGAAGAAAGAATAATTACATGGAAGAATACGAGGACTTAATTGGTCTGAGGGTGGATACATCTGCGCTATTGAGAACTATTTTGAACTAGATCACCAACAATCTCAAACTGTGCGTCTCCAGGACCCAAGCCAGACAGTCTTTCTTTACCTCCTTAAGTGACTCAAGTCAGCAGTCAAGGTTTCCATCGATTAATGACGTGTTTCGTTTTGACCACCCCATAACCCTTTTCCAATCTAATCCTACGTCAGTTAACGTTGCTGGACGAGGAGGGAGATGGCTTAACTTACTGATTGGTTTCAACATAGAACTCTGCCCTGATGTGCAGCAGTTCCAGTCACCACACTTCACTCACCACAAAAGCAAGAGAAGAAAGTAAAAAGAAACGTAAAATAGAGACAGTAAACAGAGATATGAGGCAAAAAGAGTAGTAATATCGAAGGAAAATATAGTTTTATTGGGTATTATAAGTCACAAGGAGTGGACGCATCTGTGCCAGCCATTGAGAACGATTTTGAACCATATCACCGATTGTCCCGAGGACCGTAACCATTCAGGAAGGCTACACCTCCCTACGTGGCTGGATTAAACTAACTGTTGTGGATTTCATTGACTGATGAAGCCATGTTTTGGTTTGACCACCACTGGCCCTGTTCCAACCTGACTATATGTCAGCTAACATTGCCTGTCGAGGAAGGCGATGGCTAGGCATATGTAACACATGTTCTGACTTTCTCAATTGGTGTAATTTCACAGCCTCGTCGATTGATTTCCCTCCTTACTTAGCACTCGATCAATGCCTAACCTCAATATTGCTCACCTTATTATACCATTTCACACGGGAGATAGAACGCATGAGTAACGTGTACCGTAGCCATCTGGATAGATGCAGCTTAACAGCCGCATTTGTTGACAGTCGACCTAAATATTACTCACTATTTTAAAACGCTTACCGTCGGAGACAGACAGCAAACATCTGTGGTCAAAAACAACTGATCTCTTTGGAGCTCCCACTTTTAATGCCCACACCTCACAGCCATAAAGAATAATAAAGTGAAATGCTGAGCACCATATATGTTGTATGATCGGTCGCCGGATATCACGTCTCCACCACCAGAGATGGAGTAAGTTGACTAATGTCACACAAACCTAACGTATCGCTGCTGAGATTTCATCAGCTATCAACCTGCTAGGGCTAATGCAACTTCCCAAATAAGCGAATTGATTTACACACTCTGCTGATTCACTGCCTATCTTTAAACTAGGAGGTCGGTGCGGATCAATCCTTCATCCATCATCTTACACTTGATCGGAGTGAAGCGCATGCTAAGCATACTAAGATTTCTACCAAAAGTGTTTAAAAGACAGCATTTTTTACCATCGAGAAGGACGATATAATCTGACATGACAGTTTTGTGGTAACAAGTCAACCACTAAGTTGTTGAAGTGGATTAAGGTTAGGCGATCATATAATAGAGTATACTTTATCCTACAGAAAAATTGAATGTCTGTAATATGCTAGTATATTAGATTATGAACCTTGTATCACCTATAAAATAATATATTGTATCAACTAGTTGTAATGAATGGTCATAAATTTATGAATGAATAGCTGAAGCTAAACGCTCAAATCATTTGGCCATATTCTCAACTTGATTTTCGTTAGTTCATATTCAATAGCTTTTCGCTACCGAAGAAGTTAAGCGATGTGGAGGTAGTTTAAAGTGGCCAACAACAGATAAGTTTCAATTGAATCAAAGAGCTTCAAGGCTTAAAGTTTCGATGTCGGTGGTGTTATGTTTACAAGGCGGGGTTGAAAGCCTCATATTCAATCTTCCCTGTTTTCCTGGTTTGCTGCCGACCAGACAAGGTTTAAGGGTGTTTATGAAAGTCCTTGATCCGAAAGTGGTAATTGACTCCGTCGATCGAAAGGTACTACGGAAATGTTTATCCGTGAACGGAGTACCGAGAAATTACGTCGCACTAGTCAGGCACTCTACTCGAACTCACGCGTCCGTGTAAGAGCTTACGGGGGAGTTGTCATCTGAAATGATGACAGTCAGTGGTGCCAACTGTTCCCATTTCTGTTTAATTTCGTCATAATTATACCAATGGAATTCACCGTAACTGACCTCAGCGACTTAGGGATCGATTTGTTACCAGGGGATAGTCTTCTTGACTTGGAATATGCGGATAATATACTCCTCGTAGGTGAAGACGCTGATAAAATGCCACTGAGTCTTCTGAACACTTTGAGCAGAAATCTAGTATTTGGCATGCCATTCACCCCCGTCAAATGTAAGATGATGCTACAGGACTGGACTACATCGACTCCTAGCCTAAAGCGGCGAGGTGTATTGACGAATTCAATCATTTAGGAAGTTGTATCAGCCAGCCCAGTAGGTTGATCACTGGTGAAATCTCAACACGGATACAGACGGTTCGTTTGTATTTGTCAACATTCCCCATTTCTGATGCAGACGTGGTATCTGGCTATGTATCCAGGGATACATGCACTGCACAGATGCTCGCTCTTTCCTCCTTTATGGCTGTGAGAGATGGAAGTCGAAAGCGGAAGACATCAAAAGGTTATCTGTCTTTGATCATAGATGTCTGCATTCTACTTCCCGGGTTAGGTGGTGGTATAATATGGAGTGAGTATTATTGTGGTTAGGAATACAGTGTTAGGTAAGAAGGGGAAGTCAATCAATGAAAGTGTGAAGCTACATCGATTAAGATGGCTAAGACGTGTGTTATGCATGCCTAGTAATCGTCTTCTTCGACGGACAATGTTAAATGACATAGGATGAGGTGTGTGTGTGTGCTAAATAGTGTGGCAACTTGGACTGCTGTACTTCTGTGTCAAGTTCTCTGTTAAAACAAGTCCCTCAAGAGTACCTCGCTTAGGAATCGAACCCGGATCTCATGTGTATTGCTAGCGAATACCCCACCACTGAACGACTGTCGCACTGCATTTTATCAGATAAGAAGTCTCTTAATGAAACTCTAATAGCTCTGCACTCACATATAAGATTAAACTATTTCTTTCAGGTTGCTTCATTGGGTTTATTATACTGTTAAGATGGGCCATGAACTCAAATTACATCGCATTTGTTAAAATTTAGAAGTCTTCAGTTTTACTGCCCTCCTGGAGTAGTTTGATTTCCGTGTTACGCCTTTTATCAGATAATTAGAAATGTAAACGAAAAGGCCCATATGTATTATTGATATAATAAAGATAAAACTTGGGCACACTGTGGTGTAGAGTGTAAAACTCCACTATGGATAAAATTTTATTTCGATAAAATCACACAGTGTTATACAGTCATATTTACTGATGACCACCTATCGAGCACAATTTATTGCTGCTCATAATCATATCATGGTACTCACTCACACACCTTTCTTGCTTCGTTTATATACATGAGTAAAGATTGGTGATTAGACATTTGAATAAAATCAATATAAGATAAAGTACATTCAGAAATAATATTAGTGTTATCAATAAAATACAATCAAATGGGAAATAAGATACTTTTATAATCAAAATAAGTTACTTGTTAGAATGTTATGATGTGCTTGAATTGAAATAGAATTTTGAGATTATAATCCGCCTCTGATTTGATTGGTGGTAATAATATCTTCCATATCTCTGGTATTTGCGTTGAGTCACTTCTATTGCACGTGTTTGGTGTAGACTCGATGAACAAGGATTCAGTAATCAATCTCTCTCAATCTTCACCTACCTATAATACTTCTTAGAATTTTTACTCTGTCCCACCCACTCTGTTGTGTGGTTGTGTGTTAACGCATGCAGTGTTATAGCTGAGTTTGTTTTATAAATTACGTATCTTCGTGGGATCAATTATTCTAAACTTAGCTAAATTTTTATGTTACGCAGTCTTGCTCCTCGCCTGTGAAACCTACCCTATCCGATCTGAGGATGTGCGGGGACTCTGCGTATCTGGTCATCACTGTCTCGGTAAAATTGCTTGTGTTCGATGGTATTATCGGATGAGTAATTCCGAGGTCCGGCAGCGTGTGTTTGAATACAATGGAGATTACCATTCGTTGAGTGTCGCCACCTGGAAACACCAGCTTTGATAACTCGGACATTTGCTGCGAATGTCATCCCAGAGGCTTCTGCACCGGTCTCTGTTCGCTAGCCTTGAAAATTACTAAGTGGAAAAACCGGAGATGTGGTCAGTCTATTACTCAGCGTTGTGAGATGAAGGATATTTGTATTAGGTTAGCATCGGTTGGTAAACCGTGACTCCCTGATTGCCGTCCGGGAGACAGTTCGAATCGGTGAATGGACACGTTATCAGATATGGCCGAAAATCGTAATCAATGGCGAAGATGCTGCAATTTCCTTTTTGACAGTAATACGATGAATGTTGTTTGATCTTGTCAGGTATACTTGCCTTCTTTCTGGATGAAGTCCTTTATTTATTCTCTCCTTATTTTTTTTCCTTCATGTTCCCCAGTGGAACATAGGGCTTCAAGTTAGGGGCTTGAAGTTTCTGTAGCAATGTTTATTTTACAGGATGGGGTTGCTAGACTCATGCCCAACCTTTCCTCTCTACCAGCATTATTTCTGGCTCAGCGAGGTAAAGGAGTGCGTCTGTGGCCGGGGATCCAACTCCGGACCATGTGCATGGTCGGCGAGCGTCCTAACCGCTGTGTCAGGCTGGAAAAAAGCTAGCGGCAGTCAAACAAAAACATGGCACCAGTCAATGAAATCCACAACAGTTAGTCTAAGCCACGTAGGAAGGTGTAGACTGGCCTCCTGGTTGGTGTCCTCGGGACGGTAAAAACCAATGGTTGGAAACAATTGGTGACATGGCTCAAAGTCGTTCTCAATGGCTGGCGCAGATGTATCCACTCCTTGTGACTTATGGTTTCCAATGAAACTGTTTTGTTCTTCGTTATTACTATTCCTTTGTCTCACACCTCTGTTTACTGTCTCTCTATTATGCATTTCTTGTACTTTCTTCTCTTGCTTTGTGTGCTACAAGGAGGGAGTGTGGCGACTTGAACTTCCGCACATATGTGCAAAGTTCTATGTCAAAAACAGACAGATGCATTTTATAGTGAGTACAGTATGTTATACAAGATTTGTTTCAAGTTTGACCACGGATTAATGCCAGTTAGAGGAACACTGTTTACCACGGAGTACTGGATATTTGTTTCGTTTAGCAGCTGGATGGTCTACAAGCTTGCCTTGTTGTAACAAGGCGGTCCTGGGTTCAAACTCCAGTCGGTGCGTACTGTCGGAGAGTGCCGAATAGCGAGGAGAAAACAGCTGACCAGTACTCCAGTACTGGTTTTCACTGGCTCTGTGATCAAACTTGAAGCAAACTAAATCCTTTTAAACTCACAAGAATCCTATTCTTTTATATTCAACTTACGAGAAGAACTAATTCCCTTAACTTTGTCGAACTTATCGTAATTATTTTTATTATTTACTACTTTATAGGTAACCATCAATAATGGGGCGATAGTGGATAAGAATAACAATAATTCTATTCCATCTGTGCCTTCATTCGAAGATGTTGAAACAGCAATAGCAGCAACAGGTGAAGAAGGCGACGAAGAAGATACCTGTAATGCAACAGCACACAGACAAGCCAGCGATGCTTTAATGATGAATGATATCACTGTCCTACCGATACCAAAAGAAAATTATTATGCTTGTCGAATGGAGACAGGCGGTAGTATGGATTTAAATGTTAGCATTCTGTTCAGATTTCTTGTACAAATATTTATTCTACCAAGAATTAAACGTTTCAGTTGATCTAAATTAAAGAGTTCAAATTCAAAAAAATGCAAAAGACAACAGGCAAACGAGAAGAAGAAGAGGGAAAAAGTTGTGGTAATTCTCCAACCAGTCAGTAAGTCAGTCAGTCAGTTAGAGAGTTGAGTGAGTAAGAATGAGCTGTTGTCAAAATCACTACCATTCATAAGAGTCTTTCACAATATCCTGTAATTCCCAATATTCCATTCTATTCTTATGGTCCTTTGTAAAATTAACACTTGAAGATATATATACATGCATATACTTACACACACACACACACACACACTGAAACAAGCAAATGTACTAAAAATGCAAGAGTTTTGACAGTGCTCATTTCTTTTGTTTAGTGCATTCTTCTTTGTTTTGTTTTTCGGTTTTTTGTAATATCTTGGTGTTTTCTGTGAACAATGAAAGCTTCCGCTTTATTTCTACACACACACACACACAGACATTGACCACCTCCCCCTGTCTGCTCATGACTGACTAATGAGGAAATGTTTCTTTTTCTCTTTCTTTCTTTGTTTCTTTTGCATGACAGTGCAAACCGTGTAAAATGTTGACAATACAGCTTATATATGTGCCTTATTATTACTGTTATTATTATTATTTGTGAGAACTAAGTAAGTGCCTGTATTATTATTATTATTTTGTTTATTTTGAGCACTAAACAAACCGAAACAAAACAAATACTGTTTCTTCGATTATTTATATATTACTGAAAATACATATTTTTTGTTGTTGTTGTTGTTGACACTTTTCTTTCCACCACGGTTGTTTGTTTTGGTTTTGCTTTTGGTTTATTTTTCTTTTCTTTTCTCTACTCTTAAAAAGTAAAGTGGCATAATAAGGTGAGCAACATTGAAGTTAGGCGTCGAGTTCTAGGTAAACAGGGGAAATCAATCGACGAAGTCGTGAAGTTACAAAGACTGAGATGGTTGGGACATGTGTTACGTATGCCAAGTCATCGCCTCTCTCGACAATGGGCAATGTTAGCTGATATAGGGTCAGGCTGGAAAAAAGCTAGCGGCGGTCAAACAAAAACATGGCACCAGTCAATGAAATCTACAACAGTTATTCTAAGCCACGTAGGAAGGTGTAGACTCTCCTGACTGGGGTCCTCGGGACGGTAAAAACCAATGGTTGGAAACAATTGGTGACATGGCTCAAAGTCGTTCTCAATGGCTGGCGCAGATGTATCCACTCCTTATGACTTATGATTTCCAATGAAACTGTTTTGTTCTTCGTTATTACTATTCCTTTGTCTCACACCTCTGCTCACTGTTTCTATTATGCTTTTCTTGTACTTTCTTCTCTTGCTTTGTGTGCTACAAGGAGGGAGTGTGGCGACTTGAACTTCCGCACATTTGTGCAAAGTTCTATGTCGAAAACAGACAGACAGACAGACTCTTAAAAAGCGCTCGTGTGGATGGAATGCTTCGGTTGTTTATTCCTTTTTTTTCGTTCTAAAAGACCAAACCAAACCAAAGAATATATATATGATGATATACTGTAAATATGCTGTCGTTTGTTTGTTTTGGTCCCTCTCTTATCTTTCCTCCTCTCTGAGCAGAGTTAGTTAAACGTGTAGACACAACCAATCATCGCTCCTGTTATGAAATGTAAGATGATGATGATGCTATAGGGCTCGACTACATTGATTCCTGGCTTTTAGGATAAGGGAATGAAGTGGTAGAGTGCGTTAATCGCTGATGACATCTCAACATGGATATAGAAGGCTCGTTTCGTATATGCCAGTTTACGCCGTCTCTGGTGTAGACGTGATATCCGGCCGGTTATCGACCAAAGGACGTGTGTGCTACTCAGAAGTCCGCTTCGTCCTCCTTTATGGCTGTGAGTGAGACCTGGCCATTGAGAGTGGAAGACATGAAAAGGCCGGCTAGCCATAGGCCGAAAGCTGCTACCTTGACGTGGTGGTCGGGCTTGAACACCGCAATGACCTAATCAAGCTATACTGGCTGAGACTTATGTCTCTTGAGGTTCTACCATGCCAGGCAGGTTGTTTGGATAGCGGTTAAACAAAAAGCAGCTACCCAATCCAACATCATGTCCAATACAAAATTACAAAATTTCATGCCGGATCGGCCGTGGCCCGGATTAACAACGACCGCGCTTCCTGCTGCCGTGTCACAGGGCGGGAGTGATAAATCTGCTACTGAGACACACCAAACAAAAAGAACAAACAAAAACAGGCCGCGTGTGACCGGCCTCAAGCAGTTGTCCCCTGGGCTCTGCGGTCACGCAACCAACTTCCACGGTGTGGGCAGCCGGGAAGTAACAATCGCCCTCACAATCCGAAATGCACACGAAACCTCTCTATTACTCACTCATCTTTGTCTTCATCTTCATCTCTATCATCTTGCCTTCCTTCCACTGATGCAACTCCTCGACTTGATAGCTCTCCACTTCCTCTCCACTCTGCGTCCACTAAAAACGATGGAAGCCAAAAAACCACCACCGACAGCCTCTTAAAGCCGCGCCACCAATTTCATATAGGAGCTCTTAATGTTAGGACACTTTGCCAAATAGGACAACAAGCATCACTAGCCAAGACCCTGGCATCACGAGCCATTGATGTATGCTGTGTTTCAGAAACACGCATACAAGACCCAAGTGTGGTTATTCACCTAACCCCACCTGGCCAACAGGTTGAATCTGCAAAATTCACCTTGAGGGTGTCAGGAGATGCCACAGCTAGTTCACGAGGATTAGCTGGCGTAGGGATAGCTTTGAGTACTAGGGCAGAAAAGACATTGCTTGACTGGATCCCGGTAGATAGCCGAATGTGTGCTGTCCGCCTGAACGGATCAGTAAGAAGGAGGAAGGACTGCACTACTCGCCGATGCCTTTTCGTAATCTCCGCCTACGCCCCCACTGACTGCAGTTCAGATGAAACGAAGGATGAGTTCTACGAAAAGTTGTCTAGTTTGGTGGAAAGGCTAAACGCTCAGACATAGTCGTTCTAGCTGGTGACTTTAACGCTCAAGTAGGGAAATTGTGTCAATCTGAGAAGGATGTCGGTGGCACCTATGGAGTTCCGTGCCAGCGAACCGACAACGGTGACCGTCTCCTACAGTTCTGTTCTGATAATCATTTGTTTCTTGCAAGCACTAACTTTTTTCTTCTCTTGCTTCGCGTGCTACACGGAATGTGGCGACTTGAACTTCCGCACATTTGTGCAAAGTTCTATGTCGAAAACAGACAGACAGGTGTCATAGACCATAGGTGTCTGCGTTTTATCTCCCGTGTGTGTGAAGTGGTATAATAAGGTGAGCAATATTGGGATTAGGCGTCGAGTTCTAGGTAAGTGGAAGGGGAAATCAATCGACGAGGCTGTGAAGTTACACCGATTGAGATGGTTAATAATAATAATTTTTCCTTCACGTTCCCCAGTGGAACACAGGGCTTTAAGCTAGTGGCTTGAAGTTTCTGTAGCAGTGTTTATTTTACAGTATGGGGTTGCTAGGTCCATGCCCAACCTTTCCTCTCTACCAGCATTATTTCTGGCTTATCGAAGTAAAGGGGTGCGTCGGCGGGTGATCGAACCCTGGACTATGTGTATGGCCGGTGAGCGCCTTAACCGCTGTGCCACCGACGCACTAAAGCGTTATCCACTAGATCACTTGGGCCAAATGGTTAGGACATATGTTATTCATGACTGCTTAGCTATCGATCGCCTTCCTCGACGGGCAACGTTAGCTGCTGACATAGAGTGGATCAGGTTGGGAAAGAGCCAGTGGTTGTGGTCAAACCGAAACATGGCTTTATCAGTCAATGAAATCCACAACAGTTAGTTGAAGCCAACTGTGTAGGGAGTTGTAGACTTCCTGACTGGTTGGGGTCCTCGGGACGGAGAAACCAATGAAGGCTGGAGACAATTGGTGATATGGCTGAAAATCGTTCTCGGTGATGCCACAGATGCGTCCACTCCTTCTGACTTATAATACCCAATAAAACTATACTGTTTTTCGTTATTACTTTTCCTTTTGTCTTATATCCCTGTCTACTGTCTCTATTTTGCATTTCCTTTTACTTTCTTCTCTTGCTTTGTGCGGTAAGGGAAGTGTGGCGACTGGAACTGCTGCACATTTGTGCAAAGTTCTATGTTGAAACCAGTCAGTCAGACACAATCAACAAGGACGAACACATCAACAATGAACTTAAAAAACAGCCATATTTGGCAGTCTAACTCTACCGTTAACCTAATATGTCTCTAACCATACGGTAAGCATGATTTTACCCTATTAACCAACCCGAATCTATAGGAAGTTACCTAAAGTTCTGGTGAGAAGTTGTAACTATCGCGGTCCGCCTAGTCAGGCAATGGGAACAGTTACTCACCGATGACAATGGCTGGTGGTTACGCTATTCATGCATGGGCCATCGTGTCTACGAGCTTGCCTTGTCACTAGAAGGTCCAGAGTTCGGACCCCGGTGGGTGCACACTGATGAAGAGTCCCAAAAGACTAAGACAAAATGGTTGTCCAGTAATCCCAGCCGGTTTTCCAGTGGTTCTCCACCTTATATCATCCAGCGCATCCTAATAATAATAGTAATAATAACAATAGTTTTATTGTACACAATAATTTTACACAATGGGTACAATTTTCAGCGTAGTTTATTGGCATAATATTTACTGTTCATCCAGGGGTTTCAAGTAAAACAGCCACCCCCAGTACATCATGTGACGCAGTGATATCAGATCTGAAGAATTAAATAATCTACTACGGTATTTATTTTTGGTCCCACAGAAATGCTCTACGATAGGCTGCAAATCAATTAAAAGTGTGCACAAGTATATTTGGAGATCCATGGATATAACTGAATGATTATCAACAACAAGAACTAAGGAAAATATGATGTTTTGTCTCGGATTGAAATCCAGGCAACCCACAGATTCAAACAGGCCACCAGTCATTATAACCCTGTAAACTTAATATCTCCTTAAACCAAATAATCTGCACCTAGGATAAGCCTAACCTCATTCTTTCTCTAGCCTAAAAATAGCCAGTTATCCTGTTCAATAATATCATCATTACGCTTCATTCAACAGTTTTTGTTTCTTCATAAATGCAATGCTATTTACCTGGTATCATTGCCTTTACTCTGATTGGTCGTCCCAAGGTCATCGGTGCGTCCGTACCTGTTGGGTATTTGAAGTTTAATTAAGCCTCCGCTCCAACTAAACTTTATAATCGTACTGTCTTTAAAAAAACGTATTCATCATTTAGGGATTTAATGTGAAGTAAGAGTTTTTTCCTCCTTCTGACATATTCAGCATGTATAGACATTTCAGTGATTAGTCAAGATTAGGAATGGAATTTAATGATCGGCGTAGAGGGTTTGATAGATTTTTATTCTTTGAATCTGGGAATTGCATTTTTCTTGGGTAGAGCTGTCTGACGTCAATCTAAACGTGTTATTTCCAGTGCTACTTCTTTCCATTGCAGCTTTATTCGAGTAGTTGTAAAAGATCAAAAATCAAGAAGACTATTTCAACACCATATGCAAATACTAATGTTAATATTCCTTATCTGTGTGAATGTATTCCTTCACCTTCCCAGTGGAACATAGGGCTTCAAGCTAGAGCTTTGAAGTTTTTGTAGCAGTGGTATTTACTTTTACGGGATGGAGTTGCTAGCTCATGCTTAAACTTCCCTCTTTTCTAATCTTATTGGTAGCTTAACCAGTGGCCGGGGATCGAACCCCAAACTTCATGAGGCGTGGTTGGCGAGCATTCTACCTCTGTGCCACCAACGCACATGAACGCTATTATAGCAGAAATAAATCATCCCGACGTAGTATTCTTAGATGTTTTCTTTTGTATTCGGGAAGGTGATTAGTTTCTCGGCTGGCCATTAGGCAAAGCAAATATTTTTAATTCAAGTGTTGGTTTGTAGGGATTTAATCGATTGGTTACGGATTTCATCATGAGCTGACATCAGTTAGAGATCCATTGGAAAACCTGCAGCAAGTACTGGACAGCTGTTTCGTCTTAGTTTGGGACTCTTCATCAGTACGCACCCACCACAACGGTTCGAACCCAGGACGTTCTGGTTACAAGGCGAGCTCGTAGACCGTTGAGCCACTGGGACCCAATCCAATGGTCCATGAATTCTAACTTCTGTCAATTCACGACATAGCGCGACCCTTAGCCAGTTCTCCCCATTTATTGATTGAACCGAAGTGTTCGGCTTCTATTGACATGTCGGCTCCTAGTGAGGACACTGAATCTATGTCTGAGGATTAAACCTGAAGTAATTTGGTGGATGGTGACTAGCACAGTGGAATCCAGGATGCACATTTGATCCTATTTAGTACTCGTCAACTGGATCCACCTGCATTCCTACTCAGTGAGTGATAGTGTTCCCACTGGGGCTCGAGCCTAGTACTCATCGTTTGGTCCACTCAGTCAACGGGAAGATCAGAAATGAATTAAAAGACAATGGCTGACACTTGTTGCACCAGAGGTGGCCCAAGTGATCTAGTGAG